ATACCCTGCAAGCCTGCCCCCTGGTTGCCAGCACACAGCCCCTCTCCCTCTCTTGAGTCTAAAGTCCGCAGCTGCTCCATTTCTCCATGTCTCAATGGTGTTTTAAGGGAAATGTAGTAGTGTCCGTGAAGCAGGGTCTATATATATAATTAGAGTTGCTGTGAGGAGGAAATAAGTTTCTCCATGTGAAGCACTTACTTAGAACAGTGCCTGGCACACTTGTCTTGGCCAGCTTGTCATGAAATCCATTCTGACTCATGGTGACACAGGTTTCAGAGCAGAACTGTGCTCCATAGAGTTTTTAATGACTGATATTTGGGGAGTAGATGCCAAGCCTTTCTTCCAAGGCAATTCTGGGTGGACTTTAGTCTCTAGCCTTTTGGTAAGCAGTCAAATGTGTTAACTGTTTTCACCACCTGGGATTCCTTGGCACCCTCTAAGTGCTCAATAAATGTGAAGGAACTCTGTAGTGGTTACAAGTCAGGCTGCTAATCTCATGGTCAGCAGTTTGAAACTACCAGAAGTTCTGTGGGAGAAAGATAAGACTTTCTGCTCCCGTAAAGATTTATAGCCTCGGAAACCCTATCCCGGGTCACTATGAGTTGGAACTGACTCCATAGCACATAACCACCCCCACCATTGTTAACAACTGTTATTGCCCAGCTGATTTTGACTCATAGTGATTCCATGTGACAGATTAGAACTGACCCGTAGGGTTTCTAGGTTGTAATCTTTATAGAGATTGCCAGTTCTTGCTCCCACAGAGCTGCTGGCTGGGTTCTAACTGCCAACCACTTGGCTAGTAGTCAAGCACTTAACTTTTTTTTTTTTCATCCCAAGAGCAGCTAAACCAGCTCACCCATTTATCTGACTGATAACATTAAGAAGGACAACAAAATTAAACAATCTTTAATAAAATTGCTATAGAAAACTCAGTCACAGGGCAAACACTCAGTTCTCTTTCCCATGTCATTAAGGAATGAGAGTTCACAATACTCTTTGGAGAATAAGCAGTTTTGCTGGATGTTGCCAATACTCAGAGAATTCATTTACACATTCAAACCAGTAGTTCCTACTGCACATATCAACATTATTTGCCATCTAGCACCCTAATTGTATGGTACCTCAGCAAATAAAGAATCCCATGTGGCATACAACTATTTCAACTCAAAATAATATCTTTGAAAAATCACATTATTACAAGTTTTAATAAATACAGTAAGAATGGCTGGCATTTTAATAAAATACTGGATTTTTAGATCTGATGTTTATTCCATAAATGGGTTCCTTTTCATAAGCTTTCTTTCTTGAACACATTAGCTCAAATATTACGCTGTAAGAAGTGAACTCTTTCATAGATACCATGTAAAAACTGTATTAACATGTGCCTCGTTACAGAAGCAGCTGGAAGAACTGGATCACACAGTTAACAGAAAGGTAACTTAAGGAAAAGCTGGATTTATTTTTTAGAAAACTGTAAAACTTAAGCTAAAGAAAATCAAAGACACATCTTCACACAGAACTCCTACTAGAATACTATAAGTATATATGCAACACACACACACACACACACACACACATATATATAATATGTACCCCAACAGTAGATTTTTCAGCAAGTCTAGTTGGAACGATGCTATCATGGTAGACTAATACTAACAAAAAATTAACAACTTTCTACGGCACTTAACAACAACAATGACTTGTTCATTGCAAATAGCTTTTTAAACAACATAAAAGACGATTATACACATGAACCTAACCAGATGGAACACACAAAAATCAAATTCACTACATTTGTGGAAAGATATAATGGAAAAACTTCATATATTATCAGCCAAAACAAAGCCAGGGGAAGACTGTGGAATAGACCATCAATTGCTTTATGCAAGTTCAGGCTGAGTGTAAGATCCACTTCATGTGACTACAGGGGATCTCCCCCAGCTCCAGGCTCATCCCAGCCAACCATACAGTTGGGCATCCGGTGCCCTTCCTGACTCTTCTGAGACAAAGCGCATGAACAAGACTGACCCCAGCCTAGCAGAATAGATGCTCCACATTTTCTCTGTGGTAATTAGGTGCCAGAGCATATTATTGTGGAAGGAGCTCTGGTAGCATAGTGGTTATGAGCTCAAGGTCAGCAGTTTGAAACTACAGTCATTTCATGAGAGAAAGATGAGGCTTTTTGTTCCCATAAAGATTTACAGCCTTGGAAACCCTATGCAGGGTTGCTATGAGATAGAACCAACTCCACTGCACATAACTACCACCACCGCCATTCTTACTGTGGAGTCCTGGTGTGGCATACATACCAGGATAATGCTCTGGACCACAAGGTCAGTTTGAACCATAAAGTCGGTGGTTCAAATTCACCAGTCACTCCTCAGAAACCCTGTACAGTATGACTAGGAATCCGAACCAACTCAAAGGCATTTAACAACAATTCTTATATTACCCTGCAATCCCTTACAGTGCCTTTATCATGGTCCCCATCAGTGGCTCCGTCTTGATCTTCCTGGGCACACATGCATTTCCTCTGTCACACACACACACAACCTGCATCATACCTGGTGTGTTGGCTGACTCACCCCTTGAAGGCCTGCCCCCAGCTGAGGATGTAACCAGTGGGTGCTCAAACTGTGATGAGTCAAGGGTATGGCAGACACCAAACTGTAGTTTGACTCAACTTTCCAGAGACATCACCTTCCCCAAAAGGATGGGTGCAAATTTTAGGTACTATTGCAGGCCTGTTGGGTGGGTGGGAGTGAAGGGATATTTCTGAATGCTGATATTCTTTGATGCTTGTCTTTCACGTCACTCCAGCAAAGAAGGAAGCTGCTGATTGTTGTTGTTGTTAGGTGCCACAGAATCAGTACTGACTCCATAGTGAACCTATGCACAACAGAACGAAACACTGTCCGGTCTTGTGCCAACCTCACAATCATTGCTACACTTGAGCCCACTGCTGCTGCCACTGTGCCAGTCCACCTCGTTTAGGGGCTTCCTTTTTTCTCCACCCCTCCACTTTACCAAACATGATATCTTTCTCCAAAGACTGTTAATATGTCTAAAGCATGAACAAAAATTTCATTTGCCTTTTATAATGTTACTTCCCTGCTCAGATATGTCTCTGACTCTGGAGCTTGGCTCCCATGCCCTTGTGGCTCATGGTCCAGTATTGAACAGTATCAGTCTGAGTAGCAGGTGATTTTGGACTCCAATGTCATCTTACTATAGTTTCAAAAAGGAGCCCCTGGTGGTGCAATGATTAAGCACTCAGCTGCTACTGAGAGACTGACAGTTCAAACTCACCAGCTGCTCCCCAGGAATACATAAAAGCAGTCTGCTTCCATATATTTTTGTTGTTGTTGTTGTTAAGTGCTGTCGAGACAGTTCCAACCCATAGTGACCCTGTTTAGGGTTTCCACCAATGAGGAGCTGGTGAGCTTGAGCCGCCGACCTTGCAGTTCAAACTGACTTTGCAGTCCAGCGCATTAACCCACAGCGCCACACCAGGACTCCCTCCATAAATATTACTGCCAAGAAAACCCTGTGCAACTAGGAGTCAAATTCAATTTAACAGCATCTTACAACAGGGTTTCAAAACAATGTATGTAAGGAGGTCTCTTTGTCCCTTGTCCTTTATTCACCTAGATACAAAGTCTACAGTAAACAACAAAGTGTAATATAAAAGTATTTATTATTGGATTTGGGTTGGAAGGAAGTATAAAATATCTCCATTTTTGGTATAATCAGAAAAAAGGAACAGGAAAAAATGGATTCACAAAGAACCTACATACTTTCTACTTCCTAACCAATGCAAACCATTCAAGTCAATTCTGATTCATAGCAACCCTGGAGGGCAGAGAAGACCTGCCCCTCTCCTCAGGGATTCCCTAAAGCCGGTCCCAATCAGCTCCTCAGAGTCTAAAACAGTGCTTCTCAAAGTGTGGTCCCAGGGTCAGCAGCATTAGCATCATCAGGGAGGAACTCATTACACTTATAAATTCTCAGGCCTCCCCCCACACCTACTGAATCAGAAACTGGGAGTAAGCCCAGCAATCTGTGTTGTAACAAGCTCTCCAGGTGATTCTGCACACTAAAGTTTGAGACCCTCTGGTTTAAGGAGGCCAACAGTAATTACGTAGTTGTTGTTAAGTGCCACTGAGTCAGTTCCGACCCAGAGTGACCCTGTGTGGGGTTTCTGAGGAGCAGCTGGTGAGCTTGAACAGCCGACCTTGTGGTTCAAACTGACTTTGCAGTCCAGCGCATGAACTCACAGCGCCACACCAGGATTCCGATTACGTAGGTAAGGCATCTAAAATGCTAAGGAAGGTCTTATTTATCATTAATGCAAAAGCACTAAGCATTTTTAAGAATATAC